GGCAACCCGGCACAGTCCTGCACACCTCCTGCAGCACGGCCGGGCACAGCCTCGCACAGCGACACACGGCAGCGCTGCTCCTGCACCTTTTCCATTTTTTGGCCATTTCCACCCAGCAGAAGGGGTAAAGCCACGGCAGGAGCCCTGTCTGTGACGGCAGCACTGCCCACCAGCCCCAGCCCTGCACTCTTTTTGCCACCAGAGCCTCTCTCCTGGTGGCAGCAGGAGGGTGACCTCAGCTTCTCCATCCCCTGACACCCGCAGCAGGAACGACTGGGTTTTGGGACAGGATGATGCTGCACAGGGGAGCCACGTGCTGCAACTGGGACAGAACAGCTGGGGCAGCCGTCACCTTGCTCCTGGCCCAGGATCTTGTGTTTCCATCCCACGCAGGAGTGTGGTTGGCAAACAGTGGTGGCAGCAAGCTCGGGGCAGCCCCGGCTTTCAGCTGGCTGCAGCGCAGGGGCTGTCTTTGCATGGAAAGTAAACCCTCCAAATTAAATCCAGTAACTCACCACCAGATCACTTTAACTGAGCCGGTACAATGCATGTGGCAGGGCTGGCAGAGAGGAGAGCAGAGACAAAGAGCCCCAAAACCTTAAAAAGATGCAACGTGTAGGCAAAAGCTACTGGGGACACCCAGCAAGGACCGGCAGACCTGCGGCAGGGTGGGATGGCCCCGCGGTGCTTGACCATTGCACATCTGCAACCTCTTTTCTTTTTCTTTCCTCTTTCCAGACCACTTTAAAGGTCCAGATTAGGGCATAATTAAAAAAGCAGTTAAAGTGGTGACCTGGCGAGGGCAGTGACCTCAGGCGGTGGCAGGAAGCGGCAGCAGTGGGTGGGCTGGGGGTGCTGCCCCTCGCTGCTCTGCGCACAGCGCCCGGCAGGCACCCAGGAATCGGCACTCGCTTGCAAATCCTTCTTCTCCAACCCCCTTGTCCACGTTCATCTCCTCACAGAAAACAGTGATGCCGAGTGTCCCACGCTCTGTTCCACGCGCTGGCACCGCTCACTCAGTCACCAGCCCCTTCTCC